AGATTGGGGGGCAGAACAGGCAGATAGACAAAGTGCACTGGTGAGGGGAGCGGCAAGCTGGTCAGGTAACAGTTCTGCCACACCATGTGGGTCACTCTGGTGCCTGGGATCTAATTTGTGCTGCAGTGGCTTTAACTTGATAGTGCTGTGCTTTAATTGGCTGTGCCACCAGGGAGGGCCCTCTTTACTTTTTTTTTTTTTTTAAAGATTTATTTTATCATGCATACAAGAGCTGGGTATATGTCAGAGGTGCAGAGGATGGAGTGGGAACATTCACCAGAGACAGAGTGGGGAGCAGAACAGGCAGAATGACTGAAATACACTGCTGAGGAGCAAACCGGAGAGGTCTGCTGTACCAAGTGGATCACCTCCCTGGGCAGGGATTGAACTCAGTCTGCAGTGGCTGCAGCCAGCTTCATGGTGCTGAGACCCTTGCACCACCGGGGAGCACCCAAACCATATTTATTTATTTATTTTTCCTTAGACGTTTTTCTATAACCACAGTGGTATTCTTAAAGCTTTAAGAAAATTAAACTTTTTTCTTGCTGAGGAACAGGAGATAATTTTCAGCAGTGACATTTATTTTGTTAGCTTTACTTGACTGGTTCTGATAATGAAAGGTAACTTGTACATTAGGGAAAATTTTAATAGTAGAATACGTTGTAAGAACAGTGGTCAACTATCTTTCATCAAAAAAGTAGTTTTATGAGTTAGCTTTTTTCCATATATATTTTTTTTAATGGTGAAATATTACACTTGTGTATAGGGTTAAGCAGTATACCTGTAGAATTTAGGAACTGAAAAATCAAATCCCAGTAATGGGATCAAGAACTAGAAATCACATCTCATCATAGTCTTTTTCTACAAGTAAGCACCAACATTAATTTCTTTGAATCTTTTCCCTGCTCTTCATAATGTATCACCTAAATATGTGTCACCAAATGTTCAATTAAAACATTTTAATTCTGCTTGGTAGTTCAAATTTAAATGCATTAAATCATTTTTATTTTATATGTTGACAACAATATGTAGGCAAGATTAAGGCACATTTTTGGATGCAACTACAGCCTGCTTGTTTTCACTGCTATAAAATATTCCACTTAATGCAAAGTAAACTGTCACATTCTCGTCTTCATATGCATAATGGTTAAATAATATATTTCATTAATATTTACCTTCTATGGAGGAACATTGTAACGTAAGTACTACGTAAATACTTTCTAGATCATTCAAAACTTCAGGGTTATTGTACCTAATTGCTGTATTTCATTTCTATATATACTGTACTTTATCATCCTCTGGTTTTTCCTTTTGCTTTGTCCCAATTATTTGCTACCCTACAAAAAGTGCAGGGCAACAGTTTTATATGTAAAACTGTTGGGAAGTATTTGTACATGTCACTTCCGAAAAAGAGAATTAGTTTCTATTTAAAATGTAAAGTTCTCTGTAGAAGGGTGGTCTGAATTTATTTGTCAGAAGTGAAGAAGACTGAGCACATATTTCATCTCGTCCTCGCCAATATTCTATGTAGCTGTCATCGACACCTATGATACAAAATTTCTCCCTTCAACCTCCCCCACATCCCTTTGGCTCTCTCTGTGCTTGGCCCTGTCTCCCCCCATTCCCCTTCAGCACTGCCCTTATTCACAGCTTTCGCCACTTGACTCCTCTCTGGCTCCTGCCCTGCCCTGTCTCCACTGGACTGAGCCAAGGGCCCTTCCCTTCCAATTTCACTTCTGGGAGCTTTAGCTGCATTGCTCCTACTCGCCACTGGGCGGCGTCCCCTCCGGTTTTCTGCACTGTTGATCAAGGTCCCTTCAGTTCCCCTTCCACTCTCAGTCACTTCTCATCACGTCTTCACATTTCAGTCACCAGCGACCCTTTGGCGCGCCCCCTTTTATTTTTGTCTGAGGCTCATGCGCCAAGCCAAGCACCCTTTGGCGCTGGCAGCCTAGTTCAACCTCTCACTTTACCTCACCCCTGCACACCTTCATGCTGGGCTTTCGCAGGATTAGTTATCTGAGGCACCAAGCAACGTGCTGCGCTCCCCCCGCTTCTCCTTTGCCCCAGGAGCCCTGCTTCCTCCCATCACTTTCCTATCCCCTCACTCCTGGGCTTCAAATTAACGAACTTATCACCTGGGGCCATAAGGCTGCAATCTGCTTTCCCAGCCCATGTTTTAACCCAGGGGTCCCTCCTACCTCCCCGCCCATCTCCCCAACTTTGTCCGACCCAGTTGTCTTCCACCACACATTTTGAAATGCTCCTTTTCCCAGAATACTAGAGTCGACAAGGCACCATTCTCCTTCCCCTTGTTTTGCCCCTGGAGCCGCTCCTTTCCCTCTGCCCTTAGCAACTCCTACTGCCGCCATTAAAACAAAAAACGGATCCTCCCTGGTGCCGCAGGGGATTAAAGCACTGCGCTAAGAAGCATAAGCCACTTCTGCATGAGTTCGATCCCTGCTTGCCCCGGAGGAGATCCACATGGCGCGGCAGACCTCTCCTGACCCGCCCGCTGCTCCCCTCAGCAGTGTACTTCCATTGATCTGCCTGTTCTGCTCCCCACTCTGTCCCTGGTGAATCCTCTCACCCTCTGTATCTCTAGCCTATACCCCAGTTCTTTATGAATAAATAAATCTTTAAAACATATACAAACACACACAAATCAGAAGGGTGGGGAGCCTGTATACCAGCTAGTCCCGCCCAGCTTCGCTTAAGTCCGGTTTGCTTGTTTTCAGCCCGCTATTTTCCCACGATACCACCCCAGTCCACAAGGCGGCGATCTGAAACCCTGTTTTGGCCCTGGAGCCCCTCCTCCACCCCTTGCCCCGCCTGCCGTCACAATTAAAATATGCATGACCCGAATATGGGCGGGGTCTCTCAGCCACTAGCCCCGCCCACCGAACGCACACTACCGGTTATTTCAGACCGCTGTTTTCCCACGATACCACCCCAGTCCACAAGAGGGCGTTCTCCTTTCTTCGGACCCTAGTTTTGGCCCTGGAGCCGCTCCTTCCTCTCCGCCCCTAGCCCCGCCTACATCCGCCATTAAAACAAAAATACGGAAGTGGCGTGACTAACTTAGGAGGAAGGAGAGGATCCCATACCAAAATAAGTACTTGGGAAATGGAGAGCGCCGCCTTGTGGACTGGGGTGGTATCGTGGGAAAATAGCGTTCGGAAACATCGGGTAAACCGGAAGTGAGTGGACGGTGGGCGGGACTAGCCGGCAATGGTCCCGCCCACTTCCTGTTAAATTAAAAAGGCGGATGTAGGCGGGACCTTTACCGGCTAGACACGCCCACCGTCCACTCACTTCCGGTTTACCCGATTTTTCAGAACGCTATTTTCCCACGATACCACCCCAGTCCACAAGGCGGCGCTCTCCTTTCTTCGGGTCCAAGTTTTGGCCCTGGAGCCGCTCCTTCCTCTCCGCCCCAGCCCCGCGTACGTCCGCCATTAAAAGCAAAAAAAACTGAATGCGGAAGTGAGCGGGGCTAACTGTTCGGAGGAAGTAGAGGCTCCCACACCAAAATAACTACCTGGGAAAAGGAGCGCGCCGCCTTGTGGACTGGGGTGGTATCGTGGGAAAAGTTCAAAAAAAAAATCAGGTAAACCGGAAGTGTGTGTGGACGGTGGGCGGGACTAACCGGTAAAGGTTCCGCCCACTTCCAATTGTAATCTGAAAAGCGAAAGTAGGCGGGGCTAGGTGCGGAGAGGAAGGAGCGGCTCCAGGGGCAAAAGTAGGGCCTGAAGATAGGAGCGCGCCGCCTTGTGGACTGGGGTAGTATCATGGGAAAATAGCGTTCCTGGGAATAAAAGGTAAACCGGAAGTGAGTGGGCGGCGGGCGGGTCTAGCGGACCGGAAGTCCCTGGCCTCAACTTCTGGTTGGTCCTTTTAACGGCGAAGTTAGGCAGGGTCAGCGGCGGAGAAAGAACGACTCTGCGGCAAGACTGGGGTCCGTAAAACGCAGAAAGTTGCCTTGTGGTTGGGGTGTTATGCTGGGAAATAAGTCTTTCAAAATGTTAAGGGGCGGAACATGTTACTGGATTGGAGGAGGGTGGGGCGATAGGCGGCAAAGGAGGCACTTGTGGTCCAAAACAGGCCAGGTGATTGCTGACTTAGACCCACGGTGGTGGGAGAAATTGGGTCCAGGAACTCGTGGACAGGGAAGTGAGGGAGGAAGCAGGGTTCTGAGGTCAAAGGAGAACCGGGAAGAAAGGAGCAAAGTTGGCCGGTGGCCAAGGAACTAATGCCACAGAAGCGCAGCATTAAGAAGCTGCACAGGGCGGAGGGAAAGGGACGATCTGCAGGACACCGGCGCGAATTGGCGCGGTAAGGCCAGGTGCACAAACCCCAGAGGTTAAAAGTGGGCCGGGAACGAGGGAAAGGGTCGCTGGTGAGTGTAAAGGGAATTGAAGGGACCTTGCGAAACACCGTGCAGGAAGCCAAAGGGGATGCTGCCTAGTGGCAAATAGGCGCGATGCAGCAAAAACTCTGAGTATTGAAAACAGTGTGTGAGAGACTAGCACAGGTCGCTGAAGCCCAGTGAAGACAGGGAAGGGTGGGGACCCAGAGATAAGCTGCGAATAAAGACAGTGTCAAAGGGGAAGGAGGCAGGGCCATGCAGAGAGGACAGTGAAAGTGAGGTGTGGGGGATGGGGGGAGCGGCCGGAGCTGGGAAGTTTTGTCAAAGGCATCTCAACTCTTCTTCCCTCCTGACAAATTCAGGCCATCCTTCTACAGAGAACTTTGAATTTTAAATATTTAGTTCATTTTAAACAAACTAATCCTATTTTTGGGAACTGTAGAAAAACTTCAAATGTAGATTTATGCTTAAAACTGTTCACCTGCACTTTCTGTATAGTAGCAAATAATTAGGAAAAAGCAAAAGGAAAACCCCAGAGGATGATAAAACTACAGTATACACATAAATGTAATGTAGAAGTTAAATACGACAGTCCTAAAGAGTTTTTAATGACCGGGAAAGTATTTACGTTACAATGTTACATGAAGAAAAGTAGAATTTCCTCCATAGGAGGTATTAGTGAAATATACTCTTTAACCATGATGTGTATGTAGACCAGTATGGAAATATTATTACTTTGAACCAAGTGGTTTAGACAGCAGTGAAAACGAGCTGGCTCTAGCTGCCAAAAAAATGTGGCTTCATCTTGCCCACATACTGATGAAAGAGTCAAGATGTATACACAATTTAATGCATTTAAATTTGCACTACCAGGCAGAATTAAAATCATGTTTTAATTAAATGTTTAGTGGCACACACTTAGGTGATAAATTATGAAGAGCAAGGGAAAAGATTTCAATGAAGGTCACGTTGGTGTTTACCTGTGCAAGATGATTTGATGAAATGTGATTTCTCCTTCTCGACCCAGTTACTGAGATTTCATTCTGCAGTTCTCAAACTACAGGTACAATGCCCACCCCCATACACAAGTGTAAAGTTTCACAAAAATTTGGAAAACACAAGGAAGAAAGTAAGCTAATTCATGAAACTACTTACTTTTTGATGAAATGTGATAGTTGCCTACTGTTCTTACATTTTACTCTAGTTTTCAAATTTTCCTTAATGTGCAAATTCCATTTCATTATCAGAACCAGTTAAGTAAAGCTAATGAAGTAACCCATCACGCTGAAGGTACATCCCTGCTCCTCAGTAGCTGTAAAATGCTTAAAGAATTAAGAATTCCACTGCAATTACAGAAAAACATCTAAGGATGAAAAAATAAAATACGGGCTTGATGCTCAGGGGTCTCCGCACAATGGAGCCCCACAGCCGCTGCAGGCCGCAGCCTCTGCCGTCTCACTCACGCTCCCTCAGCAGGGTTTCAGTCGCTCTACCTGTTTGTTCTCTCTCCGCTCTTTCTGACCCGAACCTGTGCTCCTACTGTATTTTAAACCCAAATAAATGTATGCTGCCTTTTCTAAACTTTAGATATTTATTCTGTCTAGTCCACAGTTTCATATAGCTTCAGCCGGATTGTGGGGGGAGGGGGGCCCAGACAGTAAAAAGAACACACTGCTTCAGAGTCTGGGCCCCTTTCAGCTTCCACACACCTCAGTTCTTTAAGTTGGACATACCTATGGGAAGAACAAGACACAGTTATGAATGGCGTCATGATATTGGCTAAAATAAGATTTTGTACAATGTAAAGACATTTCTGTGACTAGAACAGGATATTACACAGAAATTCCTGTGTTCCAAGGCAACCTGTCACATCAGCACACATCGACAGTGCCCTGTCCTGGCAAACAACATGCTTCATTTTCCTCTCATCCTGGAGCTCAAACCCTGATTCATCTCAGTAGACTCCACAGGCAACAGCCAAGACTGTGGCATTCATACACTCATTTATACTTTTGTGGACTCCTCAGTGGTCTTACTCCTGGGCAAGCTCGCCAACCGCCGGAGTCAGAAGCATCATAACTTAAGTTAGGTGCCAAGACTCAAGTAAGAAAAGAAGATAGCAGAAAACACTCTGGGGAATAAATAGACAGAGGCACTTGACAGAATCAGAAGAATGCCAGGAACACGGAATCCCCATTTTTAAAGAGTGGGTACCTTCTGAGGGGTTTGTGAAATATTTGCACATCAAATATTTCACCCTCACTGAAATTATATCACTGATACACTAAGGACACCTCTGCCATGCATATCCCTGCGGGGCCCACATTGCTCATCCCATGGTGAATTTCAGCCTGGCAATGACTAAGGTTGTTCTAGTTTAAGGTTGAAACAACCTTTTGAAACCTAATTGCATACAAACCAAGTAAAATACACACCATGGCAACTTCCCCACCCAGAACTGTGGAGACACGTGAGCCTTCTGCATTGAGCTAGAATGTGTAGGTGGCCTCTGTTTTTGGAGAATGGGGGTAACTGCCTCCATTTCCATTTGGAGCTCCAGAGTGGCCTGCTACTGCAGACCTCAGGGTAGAGGTCACCGCCCACAGATCCCCAGCCTTGTGGGGCAGAGGAAAGCAATTTCCAGGGCAGGGCCTCGGGAGTGGAGCTCCTGCCCTAGGGCCCAGCGGGGAGGAGCCTCCTACACTCTGACATGGGGTCCTCCTCCAGCCTGGAGAGGGCTAGGGGATCCCAAAGTGAGGGAAGGTGGGAAACATTTCCCTGCAGGTGGCTGGCTGTGGAGGGAGGGCAGGATGAGGAATACTGGGGTCTTTTAGGGTTCATTTCTATATGTGAAGGAACATTGGGGGCCAGTTTCATTCCTGGGCAGCCCGCTGGGGCAGAACCTGTACTGAGAGGGGGTCCCCTGGGAAGACACGGGCACATGCAAGTCTGGTCACTGCTGTCCACTGAGTACTCTGCATAGAGAAATCAGCAAGAACCAGGAGCCTCACCATGCAGCACGGTGCCCACCACACCCCCGATCCTTCTGGAAAGTCAGCCTGCTGCCCACTCAGGCCTTAGGTGCTCACATGAGGCCACCTACCTACGTCTCCCCCTACTGAACTCCCTGACAGAGGTGACAGCCACGTGACTGACCAGGGCCCTGCCGTCCAGAACAGGGGTTTGCAGTGCTGCTCTGGTGTCTCCCCTCCAGTGGGAGGATTTCTGCTAAATCTGTACCTCCTGTCTACTGTAATAAGAAAAGGCAAGAGAGGAGCTGATGGGCAGAAGCCGAGACTACTGTCTGAACCAAAACGGGGGCTTTAGGGCCTGACCAGACCAGATGGGGACCTGGCTGTCCCTCCAGACCCAAGCCTCAGTTTGGGATCTACATAAGGGAACGTGTCCCTCTCTCTGAGAGGTCTGCACGGGGCATTCACCAGTTATTTCCCACTGGCCACTAGCTGCTAGAAGCTGAAGATTCCAGCTGAACCAACAGCTCTGAGGAAGGGACTGGAAGTCGCGTGACCACAAAGAAAGGGCCATGATCTGTGACGCTGCCTTTGTTACCATTGCCACATTCCCAGTTTTAGGTTTTGAGTTTTCTGACTTAATTCCTGCATTTAATTACTTTATAAACCAAACTGACACTATATGGGAATTCAGAAGTCCCCGAAGTACAACACTTTATCTGGGTGTCATGATGAAGCAGGTGACAAAAGAACAATCCTACTCACTGTTCCATCAAAGGTGGAAGAACTTCCCAATATATTAACTTGTCATCTATTTTATGATTAAACACCTTTTATCACCCCAATATGCTTTCTCCATCTTTGGCAATCACACCTCATTCATTGTGTCTTTTTAGAAAAATAATACCTAATTTATTTTTTAATACTGTTTTACAAATCTTCCACAATTGGAAAAAAAGTAATATATCTAGATGGGACTCACTGTTTATTTGCAATTTGTTTTATTTCATTTAAATTTTGGAATAAGATATTTTGTTGGCAGATCAAAATGAGAAAACTATATATGCATGGGTCTTATGATTTGGTAATGACCCACATATGAGGAGGTTATTTGTAAATGCTATTACAACACCGATTATTGTTTTTTATTAACATGGAGTCTTCTCTCACATAGATGTCATACTAAAAGCAATCACATATTAAGCCTCATTTACCTGAGCATCTTGTTCAATCTGAGCTCCATCAACACCAGCATCAGGGTCTCTAACTGACCTAAAATAGAAAATATATCACAGTATTGAATTACTGAGCATGTTTATGCAAATGGAGAAATGGCTCCATCTGGGGGTTCCTGAAGCTTTTCATTCTAGGAGGGTTATGTTTCTACAGAGCATAACAATGAGATTCCATTGCATCATGCAGCACTCTGCAAAACCAAACTGACCCTGTTGACTTGAAATCCAGATCTAGTCTCTCTCTCTCTCTCTCTCTCTCTC